GTGCACACGCTCTATAGCGAAAGCTCTCCAAAAAAACCCAAAAAACAAACATGTCGGATGCATATATATTTTTCCCAAAACCCCAAGGAGAAAATGCAGTGCAGCCATTCCCCGACAGGCTGATCTCTCACGTTATCTCTCTGTATCTCTCCTGCAAGTACACATGCCCTAAAGCAAACCGAAATAATAATAAATAAAAATGGAATGACATGAAACCTTCTATTAAGGTAGCCCCGAAGAATTTACAAAGTACTTTCCAGTTCAGTACTGCCCCTTACCATGGCACACAGCATGGGGTGGTGATAACGTGGGTTCAATATTTTTTCTTTTTTTTTTTTTGTTTGAGAGGTTTTTGCTATAGGGCGCGTGCACTCACCAGAAAGTCAGAGAGAGACAGAGAGCGAGAAATCACCCCCTGGGGGGATGGCCCCATCACAATCCCTTCTCCTTCATTCTCCTCTCGGGATCTTAGGCACGCACACACACGCGCCTGGTGTGAGTTTAAGCCACCGGGTCTGGGACTTGAACTGCAGTCGGCTATGCGGGAGTCCAGTGACATAGCCATTACGCCAACTGCTGGTCCCCATGGGTTAAATAATAACTCCCCATTTTCCAAAAGGAAGTTATGGACCCTGAGAGGTGAAAGGAACTGCTGAGGTTGCTCAGGTGGAGTGGGGACCAGGCCTGGGCCTGCAGCTCGGGTGTGGCCAGACCTCCTGACTGAATGGCCCATTCACGAGCAGAGGGCAGTCCTCGGAGAGCCCCTGGCTGCAAGGGCACCCTTGGAGTGCCTGTGGGCCGGCATTCTACAGAGCAGAGCACCTACAGAGACTCCCAGGCCCACACCTGCCTCTTCCCTTCAGTGGCGTCGTTTGGACAGGAGAGAAGCCAGGTCAGGCTCGGAGCAGGGACAGGTCAGACTATCAGAGGTCACGCCACACGGTCTGTGAGGACCTGGAAGTGGCAGCGGGCCCTCCCCTTGCCGCCCCGCAAGCTGGGAAGGAAAGTGGTGTGACTATAACCGCACTAGTGTCCGAGACGCGGTCTCAGCTATAATGGCGGCCTTCTCTGCCCCAGAGACAGAACGTGCCGGAAGGGTTACGGCTAGGAGCGGGCCTCTCCTGCTTCCACTCGTTGACGCAGAAAATGCGGTAAGAGTCGTTGCCGTATTTGCCGATCCCGTGCAGCTCAATGGGATACCTCCACTGCTTTGTCAGATACTCATCTGAAGAACACGGCACCCACAGGTCAGGCTGGCTTCCGGAAGGACACGCGCCCTCAAGTGTGGTGATAGGGTGGGACAGAGAACAGCAGGAGGGGACAGGAAGGCTCTCCTAACCACCCCGCTTCTTCTTCTTTTAAAAATATTTATTTAATTTTATTTATTATTTTTTAATTTGATGAGAGAAGGAGAGAGAGGAAGAAAGTGAGAGAGAGCAAGCCGCCAGGTCCAAGACTCGAACCGTGATCGGCCATGTGGGAGTCCAGCACCTCACCACCATGCCACCTGCCAGCCCCAACGCCCCACTTCTGACTGCTCTTCCTTTTGGATTCCCAAGGCACCCCATCACCCACCACTTCCTAGCCACCATTCTGTGCTGAGCTAACTAAACAGGGGTAATAATGCCCCCGAGGTCAAGGGCTGGGCTTTCTGCCACGGACGACATCCCCTACATCTGTCCACCTGGCTTGCCCCGGTGCTGGGCAGAGTGATTGCCTGGGTCAGTGGGAGACTTTTTAAAATGTTTGTAAACAGCCCTGGAGGCAGCAGATGGTATGTGATTAAGGCACTGGGCCCCCATGTGGCTGACCACAGTTCGAGTCCTGGACCCAGCGGCTTGAACATCATGCCGGGTGCATGTGCGTGGTGCCCAAAGTCCTGAGAGGAGACTGAAGAAGGGACTGCAGTGTGGCCATCCCCCTGGGGAGGTGAGTTTCCACTCTCCCTCCTTCTGTCTCTCTCTGGTTAGTACATGTACCTTTTTACCTTTTAAAGGTAAAATCTTAAAAAGAAAAGAAAAAAAATGGCCCTGGCACTAGGACTGAGTAGCCTCTACCAATGCAGCATCTGAGGACAGGAAGTTTAAAGTGTGGCTCTTGGACAGGCACCGTTCATACTTCGTCCTTTGGGTATGTCGGGAAGTACCTGAAAACCGGATGATGGTTTTTGCTCGAAGATCGTAGAGACCGAGAGGTTTAAGAATCTCTGACACTTCCCTCCAGTCTGCAGCTCTCGCCACCTCAGCTGAAGGGTACTTCTCCAGGAACTCCCAAAGCACAGGGATGGCCATTTTGCCTGGGAAGTAAAGTTAACAGTTTTTGGGGCCAGCAGGTGGCATGGAGGTGAAAGTGCTGGACACTCCCCCACGGCTGACCGCAGTTCTAGTCCCGGATCTGACGGCTTGCTTTCTCACTTTCTCTCTGTCTCTCTCTCTTGCTCTGCCCCACTCTGGTCAATTAAAACACACACACACACACACACACACACACACACACACACAGAGTAATTACAAGCCTCCAGGTGACCCGATTCCAGGTTCAATGCATGTCTTCTCTAGAAATCTCACCTAGAGGGTTTTTATGTGTTTTCACCATAGACAAAAAGCCATGACCTGAACCAGCAATCACTTTGGGAGTCAGACCCCAACACCGCTGATCTACTGCATCATCAGGAAAGTCAGGACACATTTTTGCACAGAAAAATACATGATGATTTTCCTGGTGGCCCGATACTTAGTTAACAGTGCAAATCAGGCTGGAACCTGGCCTTGCTTGATAGTAACCAATCAGGTCGCCAGATAACCAGAGCAGAGTATAGAATGCAGACTGCCTTCAATGAAAAAGACACGCTGGAAGCAGCAGATGGCATAACGGTTACGCTGCTGGACTCCCAGAGTCGACTATGGTTCGAGTCCCGGATCTGGCAGCTTAAAACTCATGCCAGGTATGTGTGTGTACGTGCCCAAAATCCTGAGAGGAGAATGGAGGAGAAGGGATTGTGCTGTAGCCATCCTCCTGGGGCGGGGGGGGTAATTTCTCACTTTCTTTCTCTCCCGCAAGTGCATGTGTCCAATAGCAAAAATCTCTCTTAAAAAAAAAAAACAAAAACAAAGAAAAAGACATATTTTTATACAGGGAAAAGGAAGAGAAATGTTAACTAATTTTTCTTTTTTCTTTTTTTTAATTTAATTTAATTTCTTTTTCTTTTTTTTGGAGAGGTTTTTGCTATAGGGTGTGTGTACGTGTTAGAGAGAGACAGCGAGACAGAAAGTGAGAAATCACCCCCCAGGGAAGATGACCACGCTGCAATCCCTTCTCCTCCATTCTCCTCTTGGGATCTTGGGCACGCACGCACATGCGCCTGGCGTGAGTTTAAGCCACTGGGTCCGGGACACAAACTGTGGTCGACCACATGGGAGTCCAGCGACATAGCCATTATGCTAACTGCTGGTCCCATAATTTTTCTCTTCTCTTAAGAGAGATTTTTGCTATAGGGTGCATGCGTTCACTGCAGAGATATAGAGACAGAAAGCGAGAAATCACCCCCCAGAGAAGATGGCCACGCTGCAATTCCTTCTCCTCCATTCTTCTCTTGGGATTTTGGGCATGCATGCTCACGCACCGAGTGAGTTTCAAGCCACCTGGTCTGGGACTCGAACATGTGGTCAGCCATGTGATATAACCATTACACTATCTTTTGGTCCCAACTAACTTGAATTTTTACTGACGACCCAAGCCAACCTGGAAGTAGAAAATAAGTAAATTATTGTCCTTTACTACTAAAATGGTTACTGGAAGTCATATAATCTAATTTTCTTTTGGGTGAACAGTTTCAGGGCTGAAAGAGGAAGGTCTCGGTGAGTAGATGGCATTGGTGCTTAAGGCACTGGATGCCCACACGGCTGACCACAGTTCACGTTCTGGACCGGGCAGCTTGAAAATCACACTGGGCACATGCGCGTGCATGCCTAAAATCCCAGGAGAACAGGGGAGAAGGGATTGTAGTGTGGCCATTTCCCGTAGAGGGTGATTTTTCACTTTCTCTTTCATTGTCTGTCTCTCTCCAGCAAATGCCCGTGTCCTATATAAAAAACCTTCAAGAAAAAAAAAGGAGAGAGAGAGAGAAAGGTCTTATGAATCCATGTGACTTCAGGCCTACAATTCGATTCAGAGCTCTCTCTCTGCATCACACTGTCTCTCACACTGTCTCTGCTAAGATACAGAAGAAAGAACCCACAAACCTGAGGTCCGATTGAGAAATATAGTTGCGATGAGGAGCTTCCATGGATCGTGAAAAAGTGTTTCCTGGACGAGATTGAAAGGTGACCGAGGAGGCGTCCACTTCTTAAAGGCTTTGCGTCGCGGGGGGCTAAGTGCTACACAAACACACCACATCAGAGCTCAGCGTGAGAAACAGACTTAAAACCGACATTCTGGCTGCGGACGGCTTACCTCCTTTGTTGTATTTGCTGGAAAAATACAGGCTCCTCTTCCTCTTTTCTACTTGGGTTCGTGGGATGGCGTCTTCTGAAAAGGAAGTGTGGGAACCAGCAGTTAGCGTAATGGCTATGTCGCTGGACTCCCATGTAGTCGACCGCGGTTCGCGTCCCGGACCCGGTAGCTTAAAACTCATGCCCGGCGCATCTGAGTGCGTGCCCAAGATCCCGAGAGGAGAATGGAGGAGAAGGGATTGCAGCGTGATCATCCCCTCTGGGGGGTGATTTCTCGCTTTCTGTCTCAAATGTCTCTCTCTGTCTGTCTGGCGAGCACACGCGCCCTACAGTGAAAATCTCTCCAAAAAAAAAAAAAAAGGAAGCGTGAACATTGTTTATAGAATCTATGGTTTATTGAAGAAGTAATCAGGGCTGGGGAGGAGCAGTTAGCATAATGGCTATGTCGCTAGACTGCCATGTAGTCGAACACAGTTCGAGTCCCAGATCCAGTGGCTTCAACTCACGCCAGACATGTGTGCGTGTGTGCCCAAGATCCCGAGAGGAGAATGGAGGAGAAGGGATTGCAGCGTGATCATCCCCTCTGGGGGGTGATTTCTCGCTTTCTGTCTCAAATGTCTCCTGCTGTCTGTCTGGCGGGCACACGCGCCCTACAGTGAAAATCTCTCCAAAAAAAAAAAAAAAGGAAGCGTGAACATTGTTTATAGAATCTATGGTTTATTGAAGAAGTAATCAGGGCTGGGGAGGAGCAGTTAGCATAATGGCTAATTC